TTGCTCATGGTGGGAACTGTCTCTGTAAATAATTTTATAAGGAGTAAGGTCTGGACCTGCTGTATTTGAAAACTGTCCTGAGATAACTTTTGTTATGAATTGGCACGGATATTAGTCTCACTAGCCAGTCTCTAAGCGCTTTGTTCAATAGAGACTGCAGACTTTCTCAGTATATAAACCTGCATTGCAGTACCAATCCAAAGTATTTAGGGCAGAGGACTTGTCGAGGTGTGTGCTTGTAAAAATTGTTGTACCAAATAATATTGCTCTGGACACCATTTTCAAGGAACCCATTAAATTTTTCAGTGGTAACACCGCTGTCTGTGGATAAATGAACTAACCCTGTCATAGTTAAACTTTGTTTAATCTCCATAAAAGCAGGCAAGGAAGAGTCACAACCAAGAAGGAGAGCTCATTTTGTGAAAAACTATGTATATGGTGATTCTCGTCAGATTAAATGTGGGCAGTAAACGGGGGACAGAACGCTGGTGGTCCAGTGAGACTGATAAAGAACATCCAGTTGTCTGTTTTCATATGCCATGTGTGTCACTAGAATAAGTCTGTAAAACTGCTCTGTGCGGTCTCTCTACCAGGTCATGTATCAAGCGTGGCTGGCAGCACTCCACTCTCATCATGTCTGTTCCTCAGACTTCAGCGTCAAAGGGCAAAGTCATGCTCAAGGAATACAACGGCCATCGCATTGAAACCGAACACATCTTCCGCTGGATGACCTCACATGTTGCTCATCGAATCAAAACCCTGCATCGTTCTGTGCAGCTAGTGGAGGAGTGGCGCTCTGATCCAGCCCACCCAGTAAAGATGTTTCTGTTCGCCCGTCTGTCCCAGCCACCTGCCTTCTTCTCCTCGCTGTCCATCAAGTTCACTGGCAGGATCGAGTTCATCTATGTGGATGTACGTCACTGGGACAACCGCAGCAGCCTATCAGAGATCGGTGTGACACATAGCCCCGCTTACATCCTCAAGATGCCCGAGGGCATTTATCGCTATGGCAACAGGTAATGTTTGAACATGGAAATGATAATGTTATCCATTATCATACAAATACAGATCACTTTTAATTGTCTCTCTTTTTTCTTTCCACTCCACTTCTCCTGATCTTTTCTTCCTGTCCTCCATCCTACCTCTTCTCATCTTCTCCTCATTTCCTTAACTCCTCTCCTCTTCCACTCTTCTTCCTCATCTTCTCTCCTCCTCTTCTTTTTTTTAAATTCCTCCTCTCCTCTCCTCTTCTCTCCTCTCCTCTTTTTAGTACCGGGGAGTTTTTGTCCCTGGCTGCCATGGATACTTTCCTGCGTTCTGTCCAGCCAGAGGTCAATGACCTGTTTGTCCTCAGTCTGGTTCTGATCAACTTGCTGGCCTGGATGGACCTCTTCATTACACAGGTCACTTCCTGTTTTGTCCATTAGATTCAGTAAACTGTGTATCGTAAAAGCACTCTATACTCCTGTACTCAAATACAATTTTGAGATACTTAGACGTGGAATTTCCATTTAATGCGACTTTATACATTTCAAAAGAGAAATGTTGTAGTTTTTACTCCAATACATTTATTGACAGCTATAGTAAAGCTGGCAGCATGCTTCTTGCAATGGGTTTTGCAAATACGTGCCCATGCCTCTCGATATTTGAGTTATCACTGGGTCTTTGGCTGCTCCTTGCTGATGATTGGCTCATAGGTCTGTGGGAACCCCAACCCAGTCCCTTCTTTTTCCACTCTCTTCTAAAATGTTAATCAGATAACTAACCTATTTATAATGGCCAGGGGAACATAAAAGCAAGTAGAAAGCAGCGCATATGCTGTACAGTGGAGACATACAACCACTATAAAAGTTTAACTAAAAACAGTCACATTCAGCTTTTCCTGCTTTCGTCTTCTACAGCAGCCTTGCTGTGTGCTCTCTGTAGACTGGTCCATAGCACCCTCTACAGTGTGAGAGATCAATGGATGAGAACTAGGGCTCGCGGCAGTATGTGCACATAAATTGTTATGGATGGTGCACACACCCAAAGACGGCCGCAGGTCGCCACAGGAGCATGCTGGAGCCCTTACTATTAAATATCTTATACAGAGTATTGGAATAGAGAGATACAGTTAGTTTTGTATATACTGTGCTGGGTGGCTGTGGCTCAGAGGCAGAGCGGGTCTTCCTCTAATCGGAATGGGTTGTTGGTTCGATCCCCCGGCTCCTGCCGCCACACTGGTTCGAAGATATGCCTTGAGCCAAGGATACTGGGCAACCCCGAATTGGGCTTCCTGATGCACAGCAATCGGTGTGTGAATGTGTGGGATTGAATGAGTTAGTTTCTTTTTCGATGGACACTTGCCCATCGCTGTGTGAATGTGTGTGAAAGGGTTGAATGTGGCACGTAGTGTAAAAGCGCTTTGAGTGGTTGGAAGGACTAGGAAAGGGCGCGGTATACAAGTACCAGGGGCGCGAGTTACCAGTGGCTCTGTATCCATTTTCCACCGACAGGAAGCAACAGTGAAACGATTTTGTAGTTCTGATCCGAACACTTGGAACCGCCTACAACTCCATGACTGCTGGGCGCTCGCTCTCGCGCTGTTCTGGTTAGGAAGTCCTCTATGCCACTCGGTTCTCGAACTGACTTCAGTTCACACAGACTTGTTATTTTCCACACCTTGCCTTTTCAGGTGACATTGTCACCAGGCGATCGGCCTAGTCATTTCCTGTTCTGATTGGGCCTGTCCTAGGGAAGGGTGGTTTAACAAACCCTGAAAACTAAACCAGAGGCTATAAGTTAAACGAAATACCACTTTTTCAGCCCTAAAATTACCAAATAACTAGCAAGTTAAACAAAGGGCTATTGGTATGTAGCATGAGAAGGTTGTTCCCGATT